GGAATGCCCTTGTTACGTTCGTAGCTTCTAAAAATCGCAGCCGGTTTCTAGCACGGTACGAAACAGTCGCTCCCTGAGCAGCGATCGGCCCACAGCGTGGCCAGGAGTTACGTTTGCTTGGAGCTCACCTTGCTGGCTTCAGGCTGCACTCAGCTTGGTTTCACACTCTTGGTGTCAGACATGGTCTCTTTGGGCTTGCCGCTGTTGGCACATAGCTTTGGTTGCTGTGGGCCCTCAATCTTCATCTTGGATGGAACTAGCTTGGCCTTGTTGCTGTTCTTGCGCTCCTTTGCTTGGGTAGACTTGCTGATGTTCATCACATGCGCGGGACACCTGGGCCTCTCCTTGTTGTTGAGGTCTTTTGCAAGACTTGGCTTGATCATGTCGGCTCTCACCTGGGCAACTCTGGACTCAACCTTGTCCGTTCTAGACAGTTGCAGCCCTGGTTCCTCATTGCTTCTCCGGTCCTTTGCTTGCACTGATTCCTCAATCTCAGCCTTTGACCTTGTCAGTTGTGACTTGCCGGCATCCTCACACTCCCTCGTACATGTGGAATCGCTGTTGCCCGTGTATGACCACTCCAAAGTGGGACCGGCCATTTTACTGCACCTCTTCAATCGACTGGACTCGCTGGCGTTGGCGTGCGGACTGGTTCACCTGGGCTCGACGCCTTTGGTTTTGGATTCCACCTCATTGGGCTTTGCCTTGTCCTCGCACAGCTTTGCACGCCTGGCTTCAGCGGCAGCTTGGTGGAAAGTAAGGGGCAGAGGGACACGACAAGGGACACGACACTTTTGGGGGGGGAGTGCGGGAAAAATGAGCTCATGGGTGGTTCAGGTGCCTTTAAAAGATGTATCGACATGACAGTCTTCATGAAGATCAGTTGCCAGAAAGTAAGATGGATGCGGAATGTGAGTCCTGAAGACTAGATTCCTTTGGCAAAGTTTATTCAAGCAAAGTAGGATCTAGCGTGCAGCCTGCAGCCAGACTTCATCACCGAGAGCAGTTCGCCCCTTCACAGGCGGCCCCTTTCAATCAACCCTTCCGGCACCTGCGTCCATCACAGCAGTCGGCGACCTCCGACATCGGCGACCTCCGACATCGGCGACCGTCTTTCCCTTCCAAACGCGATGACCGGACTGAACGACCCAGTGGAACGTGGAACCGACCGGTTTCGAGCGATGACCGTCTGGATCCGTTCGAAAGCGGCGAGGTCTTCGCCTTGGGCCTCGTCCACGTGGCATCCTTCTCGCCGATCCGTCAAGCTTCACGCGTGGGCCCGGCCATGTTCCTCTCCGGCCCGGGGCCCCGGGGTTCACGCGCCCGGCCAAACACGGTCCACAGACGTGGTGGTAAGATCATTCGCATTGTTCGGAGTCAGCTCACTTTCGGGGAAGAAGGTGTGGTTGGAGTTCCGTTGAAGTCCTACAGCTTGTGGGAATGAAGCCCAACCGTCGCCCCTTGGCAAGCCAATTCGCCCCATTTCTTCGCACGCAGACAGGGTGGATTTCCTTGCAGCAGTCGCATGTCGGAAGATGTCACGGAAGAACCAGCGATCTCGTGCGCACGGTCGTGTTTGTTGTTTGGCTTTCCGGTGATGGGATTCGACTCGTTAAGCGCAGGGAAACCAGATGAACCAGCCAGTTGAGCCCTTTCCGATTCCACCCTCGCTGGCCGATCTCGCGTTTCGGCGTGGACCGCTCCAAAAATCCTTTTCGGAGAACCGGACCTGAAATCGCACGTGGTTGGTCTTTCCCTTTTTTGATGTTCAGGAAAACGAATGGAAACGGATCACGGTCGCGATTGGTTCGACATAGGAGGAGCTCACGGTCGGGGCTCGTTTCGCAGTGCTCTATCGGGCGCCCATGTAGCTCACCGAATGACCAGGTGGTCGATTCAACCGTGTGAAGACCCGGAACACATTGTTTTTAATTCATCCTTCTGTGCCCCGAACAAAGGGGACCAAACCAAACCCCCATGTCGACGGATCTATCTTTGCTTCACAGGTGCCACTTGCTTTGACTCCTCGGCACCACTCATTGATTATTTACAACTCGGCTTCCTCTTGTGCCTTGGACGGTCGATTTGGCGAAGGTCGTGTTGTTTTCCCGCGGTTTTCTCCTCGTTTGGGTCGGTCGTGTTTGCTCAACCGGCCACAACTGGCGGCGCCACGTGGCGATCAACTGCGGACGACCAGGGCACTGCGTTCTGAAAACGACGAAACATGGGCCTTCTCAAACCACGCGACTGGCGTTCATGTCAAAATCAAAGACCCGACGTTGCGTTGTATCCAATGGACGCTTGGGGCAAGGAAAGCCTCCCATTCTTTTGTCGACCGGCCCTCATGCTCCACTCAAAAGGTTGGGCAATCGGTGGTCCTGGTCGGTCAAAGAAGAGCAGCACTTGATTGGGAGCCCCTTGAGAATCAGAACGCCACATGATTCAGTAAACAAGAACATCACTATGACATACTATGACTATAACTATAATAATATTAAAGCCTTTAATCCATCATCATCATCCACTGGGCCCAGGTAATGTGATATGCCCAACATTCTGACAAAAATACCTTACCATGGTGTTCCACCCGGTCCATTACACGGTGGCCGCAAGTGGAGCAAACAAACGGGAGCAAAGAACTTCTTTGATGTTCTCTCGTTTGGGTGGAGGCCATCGCTAGTAGGTTGGAAGCCATCCCTATTAGGCTGGAGGGTTGGAGGCCATTGCTAGTAGGTTGGAGGCCACCGCTACGCCCCAGAAGGGGGGGTGCCTTGGCATCCTTTAACCTCCTTGGGGGTAGGACCCGGAAGCTCCGTGGACGCTCCTTCCGGAAGCTCAGACGCTGAGGTCCCTGCGCTCCTTCAGCCACATCGGCTTGGTGTTTTTCACCTATGAGTTTGTCAGTCTCGACTTGCGACTGGGCGACCCCAAGGATGTTCCGTGGGACGGGGAGGGCGCAAACCTTCGACGCGCCCATGGGGGGGCCTTCGGTACCTGGAAAAACGTGGGGGAAGCGCATGGTTCGCTCCGTTGCGAAGGGTTCAAAAGGTTCCCAGGTTCGGGGATCTGACCTGGCCGTGACGGCCAGGTTTCGAAGCGACCAGTTTCCCTGACCCGTCGGTTCGAGTTGTTCCAAATGTCCTTGCGACACAATGGGATTCTAGGACCTTGGGGCCATGGGAGACCGGTCTCACCCGAAATACCTCTTCCTCTTCCTCTTCGAATTTCACACACTTGTTTACAGACACATGTTATATTTTTGTTTTGTTCACTGTGGTTCGTTTGTTTGTTTGTTTTTTTTTTCTTCTTGTTTCGGCTGTACATCCCACTGTCGAAGTGGGAAAAACAAACCTGATCACCAAGGCCTATGCCTTCACGGGCCTCTACCTGCTCCGGACCCGCTTTGTCCATCTATCCTCAGACCAAGAGTGACACGCTCCCCGTCACGAGCTTCTTCACCTTAGACTCCGCGGTCTCGATCTTCGGCGCGGTACGCTTAGACTTTCATCCTTTGGTCTTGGATTCTTCCCTCTCTGGCTCGGCGCTCTTCCTCCGCTCTCTTGCTCGCTTGGGCTTGCCAGTCTTCATACTCCAATTCGGAAAAGTGGAGTTGGCCTCATCGACCCGATCCATGGCACGCTTGGGCTCAGTAGTTTTGCTCTTGGGCTTGGCCTCTTTCGGGTTCATTCTGTTGGCCCTGGACTCTGCAGTGCTTGGCTTCTCCTCGCTGGCCAGATCCTTCGTAAGGATGGGACTTGTGTCATTGGTGATGGAGTCCGGCAGGCTTGGCTTTGCATCATTAGTACGAAGCCTTGCTCACTTGGACTTGGTAGCTTTGATCATGGAGTTCTCACATATGAACTTGCCTGTCTTCTTGCAAGGCTTCGTGAGGATGGCCAGTATGCCGTCGGCTTGCGGGCAAGCATGTATGGGTTCCTTCCCTTTCACTCTGGATTTCACCTTCTTGGGACCGTTGCTGCTGCTCCGCAGCATTGCACATTTGGAGCTCGTGTTTTTTGCACGTGATCTCAGCCAGATGGCGTCCTTCCTATTTATGCGAAGCTCTGCACGAGTTGATTTCATGCCTTCGATCTTTGGACTGACATGTCTTAGCTTCATCGCTTTGGTTTTGGACGCTGCAGCACTTGATTTCTTGTCGTTGGTGCATAGCATGATCCACCCTGGAAGTAGCTTATCCGTCTTTGACTTGGTCCATATTGCGTTCACGCTGTTCATCAGGACCTTTGCCTACATGGGTTTGGCCATGCTGATTTTCGATGCCACCCACTTAGGTTCCTTGTTGCCCATCCGCGGTCATGTTCGGTTGGGCTTGTGCCTTCCTGTGTGCGGAGACGTGCGATTTGATGGAAAGATCTTAGTCATCAACTACAGCCATTTAGACTTCTTGATGTTGTTGAGATCCATTGCTCGCCTGGGATTCCTGGTGTTGGCCTTAAACTCTGGGCTTCTCGGCTTCCCCATTCTGTCGCGGAGCTTTGGGCAACCGGATCTCACGGTCTTAGCCTTCGATTATCGCTTCATGATGGACTTCTCCTTATCGGCAAGAGGCCATGCTTAATTGGGCTTGATCCTGTTCTCCTCAGGCTGCACTCGAACGGGATTGTCTTCGTTGGTCTTGGACTTCTTGCACTTAGACTTCTTGGTGTTCGTCCGGAGCTTCGTTTGCATCGATCCGGTGACCTTCGTCTTGCAGTTGACACACTTAGACTCCTTCACGCCTTTGAGATCCTTCGCTCGCCTGGGCTTCGCGGCGCTGGTCTTCGGAAGCGTCCGCGTAGACTTCACGGTCCTGGTGATGGACCTCAGTCCACTGGGCAGCTTACCTTTGGCCAGAAGTCCTGCTTGTTTAGGCTTGGTTCCTTCAGCTTTCGACTTTTTACACTTGGGACTTGCAACGTTCCTTCGATCCTTTGCTTGCATGGGTTCCGCAGTCTTGGCTTCCAGCGCAGGGCAACTAGGCTTCTCGACCTCGCTTCGAAGTTTGGCCTAGATGGGTTTCAGCTTGTCCATCTGCGGACTGGTTCAACTGGCTTCGTCACTCTTGGTGCTGGACCTCGCATCTTTGGACTCTTTGCTTTTGGTTCAAAGCTTTGTTCGCGTCAGCCTCACGGTCTTGGCCTTCAGCTTCGTTCACTTCGAGCCTTCCTTTTTCATCCGATCCACGGCACACTTGGACTTGGTGCTTCCACTCAGCGGCGTTTGTTGCTTGGGCAACCAATTCTCCAATCGACTGGTCACCATGAGCTCGTTCGTGTCAATTCAATGTTATGGCGTCTTGACCAATGCTTTGCCAGCAGTGGGTGTCAATCACTTGGGCCTGTTGATGTCTCCACAAAGCCTCGCTTGTTTGGCACCTTCGATCTTGACAGCTCAATTGGCGCATTTGGAATCCTTCATGCTTTTGCAGCAACTTGCTCATATCAACTTCACACTTTTGGCCTTGGGTTCTCTTCGTTTGGGATTTTGTCCCTTGGCATGTGATGGTGCAGCCTCAGGCTCCTCGCTTCTGACTCGCAGCTTCGCACAGCTGGGTCTCTCTTTGTCAGCTCTCAGCTTCACCTCCATGGACTTCTCGTCGCTTTTGCGGGGATTCGCATGTCTGGGCTTGCCGGCCTTCGTCTTCGGCCTGCTCCGCATGGGCTCGGCCTCGTTGGTCCTTGACGCCCTTCAGATGAGCTCATTGATGTCGATCCAAAGCCTTGCACAGCTGGACTTGTCGGTCTTCATCGTGGACTTCGTGGCCTTGGACTTCTCCTCGTTGGCACGGTCCTCTGTGTGAACTGGTTCCGCCCTCTTGGCCACGGGGGTCATGAAAAGTGAGATCGGCTATGAACTCTCAGTGATTGGCCGCTGTCGCTTGGGCTTCCCCTTGTCCTTGCGATCACTTGCACGATTGGACGTGCTGGTGTTGACTGTGGGCTTCGCAGCCGTCGGCTCGTTCATGTCCTTGCGATGCCTCAAACGATCAAACTTCAGCATGTTTGCACTGGGCATGTCACGAATGGGAAGCTTCGTGTCGACCGCAGACCTCAGCCAATCAGAGTCCACCACATCCGCCAACAATGATGCGAGCTCCGGCGTGGTGCTTTCGGTCTTCGGCGCAAAGCATTTGGGCTTCCCGCTTTTGGCGCAAAGTCATGCACGTCTCGAACTGGCACTTTTCATACTAAAGGCTGGTGTAGTGGGATCCTTTCTGCCACCACACAGTTCTGTGAGATCAAACAGTTTCCTGTCAGTCTTGGGTATGGCTTGCATGGACTCCATGTTGCCAACTTTGGACTATGTGGCTTTTGGCTCCATGGCTTTCTTGCAAAGTTACGCTTACCTCGGTTTGGCCGCCTTCATCACCGACTTCACCGGCTTTGACTCCACCTCGTTGCTCAAGAGCTTTGTGCATCTCGCACCAGTGCTGTTTGTTGTGGATTTTGCTACGTCAGGCCCATCGGCATTCTTGCAAAACTACGCTTGCTTGGCCAGCTTGGCTTCCATCTTGGGCCTGAGCAAGGTGGACTTCACGCTTTTGGCACTGGACCTTGTGCACCTCGAGTCTCCTTTGCTGGCGCGAAGTTGTGCCAGATTTGGCTTTGCCATCTTCATCGCCGACTCCATGATCTCAGGCTTTCCATCATCTGCTCGATGCTTCAGCCAGTCTGAACTCGCTTTGTTGGTTCTGGACTTCTTGCATTTGGACAGCCCCACGTTCTTGCGAGCCTTTGCTCAACTGGGCTTCATCGTGTCCTACATCGGCAGCAACAGCAAAGCCACCACGGTCGCGTCACTCTTGGTCGTGGATAGACTCTTTGTGGGCAGTTCGCTCTTGATGCGCTCCATGGCTCGATTGGGACTCGCGATGTTGGTCTTTGATTTGGCTCATACTGAATCTTTGATGTCTCCTCGCAGTGTGGGTTGCATCGAACTTCCATTGCCAGTGTTGGGATTGGCTCACATCAACTTCTCCATTCCACTGCAAAGCATGTCACAGCTGGCATTCTTGGCCTTGGCTCTGGGACTCCTTCGCGTGGGCGTGCTTCTGTTCACTTCAGACTTTACTCATTTGGAACCATTGATCTCGGTGCGGAGCCTTGTGCGAGCCGACTTTGCGATCTTGGTTGTGGACTTGGTGAAACTGGAACTCACGGCATTTTTGCACGCGTTCGCATACATTGCTTCACCCGTGCCACTCTTTGACTTCTTGCAACTGGACTTCTTCATGTCCCCACACACGCGTGCTCACTCTGCTTTCTTGCTGTCAGCGTTTGGTAAGGTTTATATCGGCTTGCCACCTTTGGTCCTGGATTGCGTGACCTTAGGCTCAAGCCTGCCTATGAGGGCAAAGGCCAAAGAAGGAGTCAGGGCCTTGTTCGTGCTGGACTTCTCAAGCATTGGATTTGTGCTGTTCCCTCGATGGTTTGCTCGACTTGATTTGCCGACCTTTGCCCTTGGCTACTCGTCCTTAGGATCCTTCTTGCCGATCAGGGGATTTGCTCACTTGGACTTGCTGATGCTCATCTCAGGAAATGCACGACGCTTGGAGATGTTCGAGTATAGCTGCGTATTTGGTTCGTGGCCAATTCCAAGGAAACCTTGCAGATCTGTTTATAGAGGTCCCAGGAAATATATCCATCGAACCTGTATTTTTCCAAGACCTTTCTATTGTCATTGTTCTCACAACTGTCCATCAAAAAAAAAGAAGAGCTCCATGTGACATATCTATGTGAAGTTTTCCGGCACTCGGAGCAAGGACGCTACGAACGTCGCTGACCTTACGACGAGTAACAAGAAGCTACGAACGGAGCAAAGGGCATCACGACGAACGGAGCGATCGGACGCGTTCCCGAACGTCGCCGATCTGCTCCGTTCGTCGGAGCGGCCAGGGTCGCCCGGTTCGGTTCGCGTCCGAGGGCGAACTCGCAGCGACGTCTGGTTCTTCCACTCCGTTTGGGCCCGGCCGGTCGTCCCAGGATGGCCTTCGAGCCTCTCCACCTCCTCGGACGGCACGGTGGGCGGCGGCATCGACGTGCTCACGCGCGCCGACGTGCTGTCGCTCTCCGTGGTGGACTTTGCACGCTCGGGCCCAGGAGAGGGAACCGAATCGGAGCGCTGGTGACTGGGGTGTGACCAGCGCCCCCAGTCACAAGCAGAAACTGTTGATGGAAGAAACTCGCCGCCCGCCACTTGTTTGGATTTCAAGCTGGTGCCATATTGGATTCCAAGCATCATGTGTTTCGGATTGGGACTGAGGAAACCCAGATTTCTATGTTGGGTGTTGCAGACTCCAAACGGCGTTTTGCTTTTGCGGACTCCAGATGGGTTTCTTATCCCAAGGCTTTGATTGTAAGCTGGTGACTTCACTATCTCCACCAAACCACTCCTGGAATGTTGTCGAGAATTCCTCTAACATGGAACAAAGCTATGAACTCTCCCATCCCTTCCTTGGGACCTCCATTCCTTCAACCTTCCGCCTTCCTCCGCACAAACAACAACGCCAAGTCCGCCGCCAAACGCGCAGGACTTTCCATGCGTTCCATGAGTCGTTTGGGCTTCCCGCTCTTCATGGTGGAGATCTCCCACTTGGGCTCCACACTGTCCGTGCGTTCACCCGGCCGTGCCGACTCCCCGTTGTTCCCGTTGGGCGCCTCGTCGACCATCCGGGCGCAGTAGCGGAAGAGTGGGTGGAAGGCGGTACCGAGGGAGGCTTCGTAGCGTCCTGGTTCCTAGTGGTGGAGATTGAGGATGGAGATGGGTCAAGGGCGAGTGGAGGTTTTTTGGAATTCTTGCTCTTCAGAGACAAGACGGGGTTCAAGGCATAGCAGAAGGGATTTCAACGCGTCCTTCAAGATGTATTGAGCAAAACAATTTCCATGAGTGTTTTTGGATAGTACCCAGACTCGAGGAGGGGAATACTGGTCTTGAGGGACCAGGATGGGGGGCGTCGTTCACGGAGCATCCGGGTACCGTGTTTCTACTTGCTGTGTTGTCCAGAAGTCACCTGTCCAGCCATCGCACCAGATCCCAAACTGAATGCTTCAAAGGCTATGCCGCTTTGTCTTTCCAAAGAAAAGCAACGGGCCCACCACCGATCTTCGCAGTAGCACTGAGGCATGGTCCGCTTCAAGTCGTGCGTCTTGGTTTTGGACTTTGCACACTTGGACCTGGTCGTGTCGGTGAAGAGCATGGCACTCTTGGGCTTGGCCATCTCAGTGGGATCCTCAGTCGACGCGACGAGGGTCCAGGGGGCGAAGGGCTCCGACGTTTCGGCACTTGGGGTCGGACAGAGACGAGAAGAACTGCTGAACCGCGACGTTTCGGAAGATGTTTTTGATGAGAATCTTGGGGTTTAGCATTCACCCATCGCTAGTAGCTTGGAGGCCATCGCTCTTAGGTTTCCGTTCTGCCTTTTTCTGGGCTCTTTTGATGTTGTTTCGCGTTCACCGAAGTCACTCCGAACATGGCTCCGTACCTGTGTCCAAGAACGACCTGCTGATCAGTTGGGGGTGGTTGAAAAGGAGGACACTTGCAGATCATATGCCACACCCACAAACACATGGTGTGTTGAGCACCTGAGGTGGTTCCCCACAGCGTACATTAAACCCGATGGTGCGGAAGGAGTCGTAACGGAAGTCGGAACCATGAACCACTCAGGTGGGGCCCCAAAACAAAGGGCTATTTGGGGGGGGGTTAGGGTGTAGGGTGGCCATTCTACCAGAGCCAAGGGCTATTGGGGCATCAATGATTCCCGAGTCCAGCATCCCAACTCTCAAAACCCTCATGTTGTTGTCCATGTTCCAGAAGCATGTGCTAATCTGGAACCCGTGAAGGGTACCCACTCACCGGCACCCGCACTTCCGTCAGATCTTGGACTTGACGCACTTGGACTTGGTCTTTTCACCGCGGAGCTCTGCCCACATGGCTTCGGCGTGCTCGGTCTGTAGCTACGTCACCATGAGCTCGTCCATTTCAGCGCGGACCTTTGCCAGATCAGGCGCACGGCCTTGGTTTCGGCGGGGTCGGTTCGAGGATGGAACCTGGGCGAGTTCCTCGAAGAGGCGTTCACCCGGCCAATTCACCTGTTCATCTTCGTTCCGATGGGTGGAAGAAGGGTTTTTAAACGGCAGCAGGACTCGCGCAGGCAAGGGCGCAGGCAAGGGGCTGTGGATGACTTGGATCACTTGGCTCTGCCAGGCTCCACCCTGTCCATCAACTTGAACCGACGGCTCTACGACTTCTCCGTGCATGGCACTCAGGTGGGTGCTGTGTTCCAAGCGCAGCGTTCGGATCGGGTTCCGACCAGGTCTGACTCCCCGATCGATCCGAAGGGCGCGGGCGGAACGGGGGTGCCGAACGGGGTGCGGAAGGGAGGAGGTCGGGGAAGCATCCACAGGGTTTCTGGGATGGGACGACTCGAAAACCACCCATGGCATACTCCCTGTGACTCCGGCATTGGCGAGTTCTTCCGACTGTCCAACCAAGGAGTGAAAGAAGGGCCTCGTCGTGAAGGATCCACCAGGTGGTCTTGACTTCAAACAGCCAACTTGCACCGACGAACAACACCGGCCTGTCCTTGGTGGTCTTGACTGAAGCCGCCTGTCCTTGCTTCCAAAAAGGGCAGGTGGTTCGTTCGCACCCAAGGCATCCAGGCAAACCACGAGGTCGTCCCAGTGGTTCCAGTTCGACTAAAACCATAGACGAATCCCTGGTTCCTTACGAGTGGGAACTGCGCAGGTTTTTTGGGATCCACTGGGGCGGGCATAGCCGCATGACCTTGATCAACGCGTCCACCGAGCGTTCAAAACCGCTGCAGGGTCCGACGCTTCGATCGCTGAGCGTCGCAGATGTTGGGCTCCTCCTCATCGGCACGCTCACTTGCTCGTCCCGGTTCAGCAGTCTTTACCCCAGGCCCCGGACAGTGGTGGTCTTCAGTGTGGGCGAATGGGATTTAGTTGAACCACGTGAGTAAGAGCGGTTTGCAAAGAAGGAAACAAGCTTTGGTGATTGCATTCTCTCGCGGTTCTGCGAGAAAGTCAAAAGTCCCCACAAAACTGGGCGTTCTCCGACTGGCTCAACCCAAGTTGTGACATGTCACATGCACAGTATGCGATCTCGCAGTTGCAGACTCCGTTGAAGTCCGCAACTAGCGACAGTTGCAGTTGGGGACTTTCCCATTTTGGAGGTCCCTAAGATTCTAAGATCCAGACTGGAGACAAGGCCGGGGGCTTCATGACAGGTGCCACCCCAGCTGCCACTAGCTGCCACTAGCTATTGGATGCTATATATAGGCTATTCTTTCCAAGTTGTCGGGGTTGTGATCATCACGATCCACCTCGGACCCCTTTCTTCCAGTGGTGTTCCAAAACAGCTGGGGAAGCCCAGAGGCAGATGGCAACAGCATGTCCCGTGGAAAATGTCTAAGACACTGGAAAGTGTCTGAGATCCAGATCCCAGATCCCAGATCCCCATCATCACATGTCTCATCAATGTCAATGCATTTTGCATGAGATCGGGGTCTCTTCTGTCTAACGCTTCCGTCACGCGTGTTCATCCCGAATCCCGCGCGCCGGACCGGTTGGTGCCAGCGACTCGCGACGAGCGACTCGCGCTGGACGGACGTCGCTCCGCGACGCGCAGGATTTGGGCATCTGAGCTTTTCCACATCGCTGCGTGCCGTCGCACAGCTGGGTTTGATCCCTTCGGCCCGGAACGAGGCAGGGCATGGAGAACGGGCTCCCACGGGCGTGAATGACGTGTCAACTGCGGGTGTGGAGATAGTCATGAAGATACTTCTTGAAACCAAGAAGGGAGGCTTTGTTCCCGAAGAAAACCATTCCATCGGAAAAGTGGATAAACAAAAAGTGCTGCATCCGTCAATCGTCCTGAGGCTGCTTTCCGCTCGCAGCGAACTCGTGCGTCCGGTGTCGTGCGCTGTATTGAGGTCCGTCTCAGTACGATGGAGAACACAGCCTTCAATTATCCAGACGGCGGTGGCTTTGGTGCGTCCAACTACATCTCCGTGATTGCAGGGAACCTCAGCGCTGTGCCGTCGAATCTACTGCGCAGATGTTTACTCCATGGATCCTTACTTTTACAGATGTTTTTGTTCGATGCAAATAAGGCTCCAAATCAGACCACAGCCCTTCAAGAGTCACTAGTCTAAGGTCTTTTCATGGTGAAGGACCCTTTTCTTTCCAGGTTGGAAGCCATCGCTCGTAGGTTGGAGAGGCCATCGCCTCTAGGTTCGCTTGGAAGGCCATTTCACCGGCCGTCCGGTGGAGTCGACC